TTGCTCGGTCGAAGAAAGGGATTGTTGTCTCCCAACGAAAGTATGTCCTTGACCTCCTTAAGGAAACTGGGATGAGCGGTTGTAGGCCAGCAGACACTCCAATCGATCCCAATCAAAAACTTGGAGATGACAAGGAAGGTGGTCAAGTGAATACAACTCGGTATCAAAAGTTGGTGGGAAAGTTAATTTACCTAGCACATACACGGCCCGATATTGCTTTTGCTGTGAGTTTAGTAAGCCAGTTTATGCATTCACCCTACAAGAAACATCTTGAAGCAATTTATCGGATTCTCAGATACTTGAAAAGTACACCAGGCAAGGGTTTACTCTTCCAAAAGACCACACAGCAGAACATAGAGGCATACACTGATGCAGATTGGGCAGGCTCAGTTATTGACAGGAGATCTACGTCAGGATACTGTACTTATGTCTAGGGAAATTTGGTCACATGGCGAAGCAAGAAACGGAATGTGGTTGCAAGGAGCAGTGCTGAGGCAGAATATAGGGCTATGCCTAATAGAGTTTGTGAGATACTATGGTTGAAGAGAATTCTTGATGAGCTGCGGATGCCGATGAACATGCCAATGAAGTTGTATTGTGACAACAAAGCTGCCATAAGTATTGCACAAAATCCAGTACAACATGATCGCATGAAGCATGTGGAGATTGACAGACACTTCATAAACGAGAAGATTGATAGTGGAGTTGTTTGCATGCCTTTTGTTCCTACTACTCAACAAATAGCTATATCTTCACCAAAGGACTTTTCAGAACTAGTTTTGAGCTCTTTAAGAGCAAGTTGGGCATGATAGATATCTACGCTCCAACTTGAGGGGGAGTGTTGGATTTCTAGGAAATAAATTAGGAAATTCAATTTTTGAAAATAAAATCTGAAACTACTATTTCAGATTTTAGTAGTTTCTGTTTCCTGTTTTCTAGCCTAGAGTTTTGCTGATTTGATTTGCTGATTTTGTGGGCTTCCTGATTTGGCGGCCTTCCTCTACTATTTATCTTGTAATAATCTCTCTTGAAAGATAAGAAGACTGAATATTTTTCTTCTTAAAAAAACCTTCACAAATTAACTTTCAACTAACTATGCATCTCATTTTAGGAAATTTATAACCAAGAAATATGGCATTTATATTGTAGAATGAATTTTGAGTTGCTGAGCTAAGTAACAGGCTTTCCAAAATATATAATCTAGATGCAAGCAATTGAAAGCTCCAACTTCAGGAAATACGATGTACCTGGATACAAGAGGAAATAAGTGATGACAAATCCTTCTTCAAATTGTCTCGAATAATTCCAAATATCTTCTCCACATAAGCAGTGAGCTGCTGCTTAAAAAGCAAAGCTGGATATTTGGCCTCAACCTGGCCTACAACGGAAAGGTTGCTAGAAGATGCTCGGAATCCCTGAGAAAATATAAACAGATAACATATATTTATGTATTTTTCAAGTTTTATTTAAGAAAAGTTACATACTGTACTATTAAACAGATGTTACAGAAGAATTTTAGTCATTCAATCATCTATTGGTTTTACTTAACAATCATTTCTGTGCAATCTTTTACAAAGAACAGACACCATAAAATTATAAATGAATGAATCAATATGAAATTCTTTACTTGGGTCATCCTTTCAAACAATGATGTTGCAGGGGGTGGTTTCGGTGCACCAGTAGCTTTCAAACTCCGTTGAAGCAAGGACAATAATGCAGACGTATTAGATAGCCAATAAGCCATATGATTGTTATTATCCTGGTTCTGCAGAAAAAGTGTTAGAATTGAGATGATTATTCCCGATTCTAGGACTCAAAATGAAAGATAAAACAAGCCTACTTGGAAAACTAAGCAGGATGAAATTTTCTTCTCTTTTTTTCCTGAACAAACTTTTATTAAACAGCCAAACCAGCAGCCAACAAGATGGAAAACCTCAAAAAATTCTTTACTTTTGTAACAAGGTAAATCAGTGTGAAAAATTAAGAGCGAGCAAAACCATCTAAGTTTACAGTTAATTGAGACATTAATATAAACGGCCTTTTCTTTTGTGCTCAGACTCTTTAAACCTTTGAGATCCATAACCATACCAAAGACAGGCAAACATAGCACATTGATTGAACTCTTACCCCTCAAACTAAAAGTACAGTTCTTCAAACAGGGAAAATAAAGATCTTAAGAGCATCTAAAGCATCAAACTTGAATTGAACAAAAAGAGGGGAAAATAGGAGAGAAGGCCCATCTTGCCCCACCCCACTGCCTGTGTTTAAAATTCTTGATCCAATTGAGCATTATATGAGTACTATTTTGATGCTTTGCCAGAGGGGGAGGGGGAGGGGGAGAGTAGCAGTTCTCAGGGGAATAATCTTCTGATAATTCTCCTACTACAGAATTTACAAATTATTGTATAATTCTTAAGTTGTTGGAAAGGAACAATTATTGTGTAATGCAAATCAAGTTACCTGTATTGCAGCACCAATCATCTGGATAAGACGATCAAATACGCTAGTTCTTTCTGCTTCAAACGATTTCCAGTGGAGAAGACATTTGTATATTGTAAACGTGGCAACAGGTTTTCCTTGATAGAACCCAAGATCTTGAGTCACACATTTGACAAGAGCATCTACGTTTTCCTGCAGCAGAAGATTCCAAGATTAAAATGAATTTATTTGAACTTCAACGTAACCCCCTATTGGTAGTTTAGGGCACGAGTGGGAAAGAAAAGAAAGTTAAACTTAAATCTCATTTCCTGTGTTCTTCTGATTCCAAAAGATGAAAAACTCAATTCAACTATGCCAAGTGTATTGGACATTGCGCGGACTTCTTTTTCTTTTTTCTTCTCTTCATCCACTACACTAGACAAACCCAATCACGTATGTCGGGTCTGTCTCTAGTTATAAATTAATGTAATCCCTAAATCTTAGGACCCGGTAAATGCAGCTATATTATCATACTGACTAACTTATCTTCTTCTCTAACTCATTTGTAAAATAATATTTCAATGCTGCTAGCTAGACAAGATTACGCTCCTCTCAGAATGTCACCATAATGGAACAAATTTAGAAGTAATTACTACAACACTTTCAGCGAACTTATGTGTTTTATCTTTTGGACAATCCAGTTGGAGAAGTGTCAGATAATAGATGCATCAAATTATCCCACATCTTAAACCATATTGTGTCACCTCCAATGGTTGTACTCCACACATAACAAATTGTCCATGTATTTCCCAAACAACAAAATTTTCATAACCAAGATTTTAGTTTCTTCTTATTCAAGCCTTTCATCAACAATTAAAGGGAGAAAAAGAGAAAAGCAAATGAAGCAACATAGAATATTAAGAAAGAAAATTCTATTTTTTCTTGACACATACTTGCTGCCTTTCAATCTGGGATCTCCTCAACTTATTATCCGATTCGGTACCAAACTGTTTTGTGGGTGTTGCACTTTGTGGTTCCTGTAGAGAAGAGCTACTTCTAGTGAAAAGGGAAACATTTGATGCACAAATTATGTAGGTAACAATGAAAAGATATTATCAAAATAAATTACACTAGTTGTACTTGCTTCACTTACATGATAACCATTCTCCGAAGGCTGTAAATGTCCCGACATTTTTCTAGCAGGTGAATTCAACAATGCTTGGTGCCTCAGAATTTGGTCTTCAGCTTCAATATCAGAAAGTTTTTCTTCAAGCCTGTGATAGAGGCAAGAATTCAGAAGAGAATTATCAAGCACGAGTGTTGTATGAAAGATATAATTTCTAGCTTCCATTAAACATCACATAAAGATCAAAGTTGTATGACATGATTTGAAAGGACAAAATAGTCACTTTAACAACCTCTGCATATCTGTCTTCAACTGAATTATCTTTGTCTCTGCGTCCAAAGCCTGCTTCAACCGCTCTTCACTAAGCTTGTTAGTTTCTTCATATTTTTTTTCCGTTTCATCGATTTTCTTTTCAAGTGAACTTACCAAAGCCTGCAAAGTGTCAGAAAGCAACATACGAACAAAGTCAAATTGAAAACTATAATTCCATAGCTATACATTTTAAATGCCCTATAAACCATATTATAAGACAAGTTCTAATCAAGAAGGAAAAAAAATACTAGATTCCTAGCAACCTTGAGCTCTTCATTTTCAGCAGTAAGCTTATTAACCATTTCATGATCAATAACTGCGACTTCTTGTATGACAGGGATTTGCTCAGCTGCTTTCTTTGCAGCCTCACGTTCCTTAATAAGCAGCTCTTTAGTTTCTTGAAATTGAAGTTGCATCTCTTTCAAAGTAGACTGCAACTTTGCATTTTCCTTTGTTTTGGCTTCCTCCAAGTCGGCCTACACAGAATGAAATGGATACAACAATTAAAAACAAGCACCACCATAAAGCAACAAAAAACTATCCAGAACAATGACATAAGAAGCACATCAAAAGACAAAAGCCAGCGATACAGAATCATGGCATACAGAATCTCTCTCTCTCTTTCTTACTCTCTCCATCTCTACCCCTTAATTCTATTTGGAAGTCAAAAGACAAACATTTTAATATAAAAGGACAGAGTGCATTAATATAAATAGAAACCTGTTAAAACAAAAGGTTATAACCAACAGAAATTTTCTTGTTGCCTTAAAGACAATATATATAGTAATATAATGGGCCTGAAGTTAACTTCAAACAGGAAGTCCAAACATATAATTGAAAGGCCAAAAAAATGTATAAGAAAATATGAACTTAAAAGCATTCACCCACACAACTCCATATAAAAATTAACCTCGCATGTGTACGCCATTTGTAAAATATTGCGGAAGTTGCTCTAAGTTAATACTCAACAAATTATTTAGGTTCAATTACATGAGTTTCATTTCACTTCCATCCACCAAGGGCCAGAGCTTTAATTAAACCACACGTTGTCATGTCTTTCCATGCTATCTGAACCATGTTAATTTTGGTATGTCTCTATTAGCAGATATGATAGCCACGATTTATGAAATGACTTACCATATTAACAGAGATTTGATAGCCACAAATCATGGCATAGAATATGTTGTGATTTGATTTAGATTTGATTTAATTTCCTTTCTTGTAATATGAGCATGTGCTCTTTTTATCTATAAATACTAGAGCTGTGAATAAATGATTTATCTCATTCAAGCCTTTACACAATTCTCTCAATGTTCTTCTTCTTATATTTCTACTGTTTCTTTCCCTATCATTATCCACTAGTGAACGGCAAAAAGGAAAATTGTTGTTATCACCGGCTATGTTGTTTATCTTGGATGCAATTTCAGAAGAAAGGTATGTGTGAATATTTGAGGTCAATTGTTCACTGTCCGGAAAGATATAAGCATTTCTTGTTTTGGATTTTAAAGTAGATATCAATTATTAAGGAATTTACTGAAATCTTTTTCTTTTTTTTTTTTCCTGAAATCTCATTGAGCACGATCCTTGTTTGTTCTAGCTGGACTCGGTTTCCAAGGCCACTATCATATGAAAACCTCCAATAAGAAATGATCAATTTTGAGGTTTGCTCTAGCCCTACAAAAAAAAAATAATAATAATAATAATATATAAAAAGGCCACATAGCAGTATCATAATCTCTTTCTCAAGACTAGATGACATAGATCTTGCAATCAAACAAGATACTCCATCATTTCTCGAGGGCCTTCATTATGCGAGGACTGAAAGAATACATTAACTGGCCATAGAAGGTGAATCCTTATATCTCATAAACCCCTTCAAGGGAGGGCGCAAAGGTCCTTTGAGATACAATCGTTTTAATCCAGGGATCATGAGCCCACAAGAATGTTCAGATGAACCAACTTAAGTGGACTCTAAGATGAACCAACTCGAAGATAATTTTAGCTAAGAGAGGAGCGCTCACTCTCTTCCATCTTAGAGGACAAAACTAATCCCCATCAAGTGAATTATGACAGTGTTGGTTGTTATCATTTTAATTTATAAGAAACAAGGAAAGAAACAAGATTTTATACGAAAACAGTATAAAGAGAAAAGGGCTAATTGTTGTTCCTTTTCCACTTGCTTATTATTTCCAATAAGTTAGCCCGAAAAAACAAAATCAAAGAGAAAATGTTACTTTAGTATCCTTTGTTACGTATGTGTCTCCCAAGTTTAAGAAATCTTAATTATAGCAAAACAAATGAGAAATCCATAAATTGAAAGCTCTTCTTGTCATGGAAAGGACACTGTTGTCAAACGTGCAGGCCCGTTTCAGAAAAGAAGAGAGAGACCTTGCTAAGTATAACACAACCAAAGGTAACCACTGCTAGTAGACATGGTAAGTGAATAGTGTCATAGACCTAGGTAATCTTGAGGCATGCAGCAACCAAGTTGCATCTAGGGTGTTAATAAAAATGGCAATTAGGTCAAAACCAACTTAATTATGAGGTATTAATAAATCACATGCCAATCACAGATGATAAGAAATAGAAAAGGAAAAAACAGTTCAAAATTTTCACACACACTTCCTGTTCTCCAAGGTTGAAACCTAGCTCAAAATCAAAATTTTGTTTGTTGGTCTCTCCCTGTGTAATCTTACAAGCGTAAATCACACATATTTTTTTAAGATTTTGCCTCAGATGAAACTAAATGGAAAAAATGCGGAAGAGAAGAGGTGACTAGCTTAAATGACTAAAAATGCATATAAACATATGCCTAAATACAATTATGTGAAGAAACAACCAACATCAGAGAGTTTTTTTTTTTTTTTTTTTTCACAATACAATCACTTTTCATATACATGTAAGCCATGACCCAAGTTAAATGGACCAATCTAGAATGTGTAAGGTACACGTGTCAAAAGATACTCAGACATGGGTATAGGATATGTTTCTGATACAGCAGGTTAAACACGCACCTAACAATTATATCAAATGATAAAAGTACGGTATATAATTGTACATAAATCTGTCCACCATATACAAGAACGTTATATAATTGTATATAGAACTCTTCATGAAGATCATTTTCTTACATGATTACTTCAAAATGATTGAAGTGCTTATGCTGAACACTATGTTATTTGAAAACATTATTAAATCCCAGTACCCTTGAATTTGGAGATTTAATATATCCAACACTTACACATACCCACTTGCCTGAGTCCACGTAAAAAAGTCAATGACATTACAATTTGCAGAAACAATGAAAAACATGTGCCCAAAAAACATGTACTCCAAAACAATTCATTATCCAATGAGCCATATTTGTCCATATTAGACTAACAAATGCGTTTCAAACAACACGCAAATCTAAAATTTATGGTCACATAATAGTGATACTGTTAACAAATATAATACCACGATTTATGATATGACTTATCATAATAGCAGAGATTTGACTATGCATATGTTAGCATATATAATACCACGATTTATGGTATGACTTACCATAATAGCAGAGATTTGACTATGCTATAGAATCACTATTAACAAATATAATACCACGATTTATGGTATGACTTACCATAATAGCAGAGATTTGACTATGCATATGTTAGCATATATAATACCACGATTTATGGTATGACTTACCATAATAGCAGAGATTTGACTATGCTATAAAATATGCCATAGAATATGCTTTAGAATAAGTTGTGATTTGATTTTGATTTTTATTTAGTTTCCTTTCTTGTAATATGAGCATGTGCTCATTTTATCTATAAATACTAGAGCTGTGAATGAGTAATTCATATCATTCAAGCCTTTACACAATTTCTCATTTCTCTTCTTTTTATATATTTCTACTTGGTATCAGAGCCATTACCTTTCCACACCTTTCAGTAGCCTTGCTACTTGTGAGACAGCTACCTTAGCCTGTTTATGACATTGTGTGACGTTGCCTACACATGTTTTCCTGTGTTGTTATTTTGTGATCGAAAACAGGTATTTGTTAAGTTTTACAATTTCTTTTTCACTATTCTAGGGTTGGGTAAATTGGGATAGTTGGTTTCCAACACCTAGAAGGGCTTGGGTAAAAAAAAATTGGTCTACAAAGAGGTTCCGAATATTAAGAAGGAGCTGTCTGGCTATATGTAAGCGGGCAACGCTCCTTAAAAAAGGTATGTATTTGGATTTTTCGGGAATGGTCTGAGGAGACATTGTAATTGTTTATGGTCTGAGGAGACCTTTTGATTTATTAACAGAATTTGTGGTGTGTTTGGAGTTTTTTATTGTCGTGTGACAGATTATGGCAGTTCGGGTTCCCAACCTTTCAGGAACTTCATCATCCCAGTCAGTTCAAAGCACTACCACTGGTCCTCCTCTGGGACGACAACGTGGACGGTGTGACCATTGCGGAAAAATTGGTCACATCAAATCTCGTTGTTATGCTCTACATAGACGTCCACCGCAACACAAACAACAGCCTCGATCCTCTGCACATTCTGTTACACAACCAGTCTCGTTGTCAACTCCTGACAACCCTGTCTCTACATCTTTTGCCACAGTTACCTTGACTCAAGCTGATTTGGACAAGTTCAAGCAATTCTTCAACCAAATGGAGGCATCATCTCAGCCAACCTCCACTTATGCCCACTCAAGTACTATTGCGTCTGCACATAGCGCATCTACATCTTCAAAACCATGGATCATTGATTCTGGTGCTTCAGACAATATGACTGGTATGTCCTCACTCTTCCAATCTTATAATATCTGCTCTGGCCAACGCAAGGTCCGCCTTACGGATGGATCTCCATCTTCCATTGCTGGGAAGGGTCACATATCAATTACTCCTTCATTAACTTTGTCAAATACACTTCATGTTCCAAAATTGACTACAAATCTTATTTCTGTTAGTAGCGTTACCAAACAATTAAATTGTAGTGTAACGTTCTTTCCCTCTCATTGTATTTTTCAAGATCTGTTGTCGAAACAGACGATTAGCAGTGGGCATGAAGTGGACGGTTTATACATGTTGGATGCTCCTTTGTCACCTCAAGCACATTCAGCTTCATTTTCTAATATTGTTTCATCTAATAAAGCCCAGCTTATGCGTTGGCACATGCGTTTAGGACATATTTCTTTTGGTTATTTGAAACATTTATTTCCTTCCTTATTTTGTAACGTGGTAGTGTCAGATTTATCTTGTGAAACATGTCACATGGCTAAACATGTTCGTTCCAATTATCCTGCTAGTAATAAATCTGCTTTAACACCTTTTGATCTTGTTCATTCAGATGTGTGGGGTCCTCGCCCAGTTACTTCTAGTCTTAGATTTCGCTATTTCGTGTTATTCACTGATGATCATAGTCGTGTTACTTGGGTTTATCTTATGAAAACCAAAAATGAGGTATACACCATTTTTAAAAATTTTATGACAATGGTTCAGACTCAATATGGTCGTACCATTAAAAAATTCAGATCTGACCAGAATTTGGGATTGAGCATCAGATGGCTAATGTTAAAACTCCTCAACAGAATGGTCATTCTGAGAGAAAGAATCGCCACATCCTTGACTTAGCCAGAGCAATCTGCATTGGCATGAATGTTCCCCAGTAATTTTGGGGAGATGTAGTTCTTACCGCTATATACATCATTAATAGGACTCCTCCTAGGATTCTTAACTTTGCAGCCCCACTCTCAATCTTACATCCCAATTCATCCCTTTTTTTTATTCCTCCGCGAGTCTTAGGGTGTGTGTGCTTTGTTCAGCAGTTGGGGGCAGACTCGTACAAAGCTTGACCCCAAGGCTTTGAAGTGTGTGTTTTTGGGCTATTCTCACTCTCAAAAAGGTTATAGGTGTTACCATCCTCCCAGTCGTCGGCGATTTATATCCATGGATGTTTCTTTCTTTGAGCATACACCATACTATACTGGTTCAGTTGGTTCTCAGAGTGAATGGTTCCCATTGAATATAATGGATGATCACCTTCTTCCGTCTTCAACTCCTCTACCATTACCTGTTTCTTCTTCTATGATTCCTCCTCGTGATACCCCTCCAACAGGGGGAATTGTTCCTTTCTCACAGGTTTATAGTCGAAGACGACAGATCCAAGCTTTTACTCCCACGATCGACTGCCCTATTCCTTCGGCACTAGATCCACCTTCTCCAGCTATTGTTTCACTTGATGATCGCCCCATTGCTCTTCGAAAGGGTAAACGTTCTTGTACATACCCTATTTCTAATTTTGTTTCTGATTATGCTCTCTCACCCTCCTATCGGAGTTTTCTTGTTTATGTTGCCTCGGTTCCTGTTCCTTTTAGTGTTGCAGATGCATTAGCACAACCTCAATAGCGTGATGCTATGACAGAAGAACTACAAGCACTTGAGAAAAATCAGACTTGGGACATGGTTCCGCTTCCTATTGGACGAAAGGTTGTAGGTTGTCGTTGGGTGTTTATAGTTAAGCATAATCCAGATGGGTCAGTTGCTCGTTACAAGACCCGATTGGTTGCCAAGGGTTATTCTCAAACTTATGGCATAGATTATCAGGAGACTTTTGCCCCTGTTACCGCCAAGATGAATACCATCCGTGTATTATTTTCCGTTGCTGCAATTCGATCTTGGCCTCTATTTCAATTAGATGTAAAGAATGTCTTTCTCAATGGTGGTTTGCAGGAGGAGGTGTACATGGTTCCTCCTCCGGGCTTTCATTCTCCTGCTCATTCTGGTATGGTATATCGTCTTCGTCGCTCTCTGTATGGCCTCAAGCAATCTCCTCGAGCTTGGTTTGATCGCTTTGGCACTGCTATGCTCAAGTTTGGTATCCATCAAAGTGCAACTGATCATACCTTGTTTTTACGTCATTCCGGCGGTAAAACAGTTGCTCTCATTGTGTATGTCGATGATATTGTTCTTACCGGCGATGATACTACCGGAATTAATGAGGTTAAGAGCTATCTTGGCCGTCAGTTTGAGATTAAGGATCTTGGTCCCCTACGGTACTTCTTGGGCATTGAGGTGGCTCGCTCCAAGACTGGCATTTTCATCTCTCAATGCAAGTATGTTCTTGACTTGCTTTCTGCTTCCGGTCAGCTTGGCGCTCATCCTGCTGATACTCCGATTGAGCAGAATCATTGGTTAGCTAATTCTGAGGGGGAGTTATTGTCAAATCTTGGTCAGTATCAACGACTTGTGGGGAAGCTCATCTATTTATCCATGACTCGACTTGAAATTGCTTATGCCGTGAGTGTCGTGAGTCAATTCATGCACTCACCTCGTGCCCCTCACCTTGATGCAGCTATTCGGATCCTTCGCTACTTAAAAGGGTGTCCAGGCTATGGTATTTTGTTTGCCAATCATGGTCACTTACGTGTTGAAGCTTGGACAGATGCTAATTATGCAGGATCGATTTCAGATAGGAGGTCTACTTCAGGTTATTGTACCACTATTGGTGGTAACTTGGTTACTTGGCGCAGCAAGAAGCAGGATGTTGTCTCTTGATCTAGTGTAGAGGCAGAGTATAGGGCTATGGCTCTTGGGGTAGGTGAGTTGCTTTGGCTGAAAACCTTGATGACAAACTTGTGCCTTCCAGTGTCGCTTCCATTTTCACTCTACTGCGACAACAAGTCTGCCATTAGCATAGCAGCAAATCCCGTTCAGCATGACAGGACTAAGCATATAGAGGTGGACCGTCACTTCATTCAAGAGAAGATCATCTCTGGTCAAATTTGCACTCCATTTGTCCCAAGCTCTCAGCAGCTTGCAGACATTCTTACAAAGGGCGTCAGCAAGATTGTGTTTGAGAATGCATTGTCCAAGTTGGGCGTTTCAGATATCCATGCACCAACTTGAGAGGGAATGTTAACATATATAATACCACGATTTATGGTATGACTTACCATAATAGCAGAGATTTGACTATGCATATGTTAGCATATATAATACCACGATTTATGGTATGACTTACCATAATAGCAGAGATTTGACTGTGCTATAGAATATGCCATAGAATATGCTTTAGAATAAGTTGTGATTTGATTTTGATTTTTATTTAGTTTCCTTTCTTGTAATATGAGCATGTGCTCATTTTATCTATAAATACTAGAGCTGTGAATGAGTAATTCATATCATTCAAGCCTTTACACAATTCTCTCCTTTCTCTTCTTTTTATATATTTCTACTGATACTGATGCCAACTCTAAGAAGTCAAGGAAAGAATTCAAGAACAAAGCATGCTTGGGATATTTTTTAATATGCTTGCATCCTTTCAAGTGATCTAGATAAACACGAAAACAAATAACATTTTGACAAATATAATGACATGCAGCAAAGTTGTAAAGAACATATTTACTCTCATGCGTTTCTCCAACTTCAGTCGCCATGTTAGCTCTTCAACTTCTTTTTCCAGCTTTGTTTTGGCAGCTTGGAGAACACCGGTTTCCTTAGCAGCCTACAGATAGACAAGAAATATCATAATCTTCAGACATATATAATATTAGCAAAAGCACCTACCGAGAAAATTGATAATAAATGAATAAGAAAGAGCTCAAGGAACAAAAGTTAACCACCTCCAGGTTCATCAATTTACAGAAAGAAAATGAAAAACAAAGTCAGCAACAAATTACATAACCAAACACTAGTAGTCTCCCATGTGGATGAGTTTGCATGACCAGAGGGCAAAGATGGCCAAACAAATTTATCTCAATAAAGTAACCTCAGACCAGGGGTCAATGCTAAACCCTTTATCCTTCTTTAGAACATGGTCATATTTCCTGAATTTATCAATTTCTATGCCAAACAATGTAAATAATTATATGGCAAGTAAAATTTTGAAACAATATTGCCAGATATGGCAAAAATTTACAGAGGAGGACAAATTGACTGGAAAGATTGAAGAGATTAAAAACTTAGCTATGAAATATCACAGGCTAGACAAGCAAGAAAACCTCACCATTTTAAGATTCCGCAGTTCTCTGCGCGCCACTCTTACTCTCCAGGCGCATTGAGTAGCAATTGCCGCTTTCTTGATCCTCAAATAATGAAGCCGGACTAAGTATTGTCGGCATTGACACTGTTATAGACATTGTTTTATTCAGAAGTCAAAAATTACATAGAACATGAAAGCAACTCAAACCCATGAAGGCAGCAATGAACAGAACAAAATTTTCCTCAGTGAACTTCAAACAAGACAAAGCCAAGACTACTAAGATTTTGTAAGTTGGGGTGGAAGTAAGTTGAAGAGGCACACTTCTGATATTCGATTTTTGAACTGTAGCATGTACTATAGGAGTCGTTATTAATAGTGCATGAATAGAAGAAGGATTCAAGATTATTAATGCAGTATAAATTGAAATTTGCACTCACTAAAAAAAAAAAAAAAGCCAAATTGTATTACTACTAAAAGGTGGAAATTTTCGAGCACACTGTAATCTCGAAACTCATACGCACCAAAAGATGAGAGGCCCTGTATTTTCTTCTTACCAAAGCCTAAATCCATGATTGCATTACCTTGTTTTTCTTCCAATTTCTGATTTGTCTTATTTTTATTGCAACCCTGTTTGGCTCATGTAATTGGTTTAGCCATTGAACTTTTAAAATGAATGATTATAGGTCAAGCACTTCTCGCTCTAAAAATTGTCAACCAACTATGTCCAACATTCATCAGGACAGTTATAGAAAATCCACTTTTATCTAATTAAATGAGTGCAGAAGTACAAGGGTGTTATGGTATATTGTTATTTATAATCTATCATCTTCAGAAAGGTTGTACTCTTATATTATTTCAACTTTTAATTCTCTTCTCTATGGTTTTACATACAATCATGGGAAACAAGCACATTTGGGTAGAGAAAATCACAATCGTGCACACATCCAGCTGTGTTCCCGAGTCTGGATTTTCAATAGAAACAATGTTTAGCATGTAAATGTTTAAATGCGATTCCATATTCACAAATCAAAGGAAAGTAATTTAACAAAAAAAAATTACCATAGAAGGTAAAATATGATCTTCGAAAAGTGGGGGAGATTCTGTTAAGATTTGTGGAGTTTCACGAGTCACAACTGCCTATTGCTTACGAATTCAGTAATTGTGGGGAGAGAGGGAGGAGGGGGGGCGTGAAAATCACTACCATCACCTATCTGGTGATGCAGCTGGGCTTTTACGACAGTATTGATTGGCTTTTGGTTAATTTATTCCCAAGTATATAAAGGATATGAAAAGGCCAAAAAGAAAAGTAACATAAAGTCACATCTCTCATAACACCTACATATCAACTCAGTGGAACAATACCTGGATACGGATTGCCGCTTCACTTTGTTTTTTGAAGCGAAGCTCATCACGGGCAGTCATCCCACGCATACCTGTTTGAATATAAATAGCAGAAGAGCACAACAATGTGTAATGTTTCTGAGCAAGACACATGCGCATATCTTTCTGTATTCTCAAACAAGCAGCTTCTTTCCTCATACTCTCATAGCGATGGCGTGCAACTTCCCCTACAATCAGCACAGGGGAAAAATAACAAGTGAAAAGTCAGAATTTCAACTTGTTGGAACCAAATTTCAAACTTATAATCTCACAGCAGTCATCAAGATGCATACATCTTAAACAACTTAATACCTCTACACAGAGCTTCGATTTGTATGGCAGCCATCCGCAACAACATAAATTTTTTGCATCCGAAATATGAACGAACATTACTCTGGATAATGCATGCGGACCTTCCTAAGACCTCATTCCTACGAGCATCTAGTTCTGCCATCTGACCAGCTCTAAGAAAAACTTTTGTTTTACCAATCTGCAATATATTAATATCAATTAAACTGCCTCTGCAAAGCCTACTCAGAATAAATATTTGGATCGGGTAAAGGATAAAAAATAATGGTGTTGTGAAAATAATCTCCAATCAATACTGCTGTAACTGCTGTTAATAGGTGAAGCGTTTGTATCGGACACAACAGGACATCAATATGGGTATGGGATATTTGTCCGAATGCCTGATGTGAAATATACATAATAAGCATGTTCAACAAATACAGCAGAACATGTAGAATTTCCCCTGATGTCAAAGTAATTCAAAATGAGTAAAGCACTCATGTTGGAGGCTCTTCACAGACACATCATATTTGGTAGGGTAAGGAAAAAATATCTGATACTTTGACAACTGATCAGTTCCCTCGTGACCTAAAATCCAAGGATTAAATGAATTAACACCTATTAGCACACCAACACCCAACTATCATACCTAAGTTCATGTCCCAATCTATGCGTAAGTGACTGATGTTTCTGATGTCAGATACTAATACACTGATATTACAAAAAATAGTTAATTTAAGAATCATCTAACAACTACAAGTAAAACTCAGCATCAAATCATTTACAGAACAAGCTTAAATCTAAATGATGAAATATACCTGATAACCTTCAAGGCCCGCCTTCTCTAGAAGCTTCTTGGAAGCAGTGACCTCATTACAACTATTAATGAATACATTAATATAAAATAAAGTTAATACAGTTTCAAATGAATTTAATGCCACATAACCAAGTATAATATAGGAATATAAAGCACTTGATGAACTCCAGCAAAGTTAATGAGACTACCGTCCATCCAAAACACCAGGTGCTAGGATGCCGAAACGGCCAATGAATTCATCAAATGCTCTCCTAGTGGGATATCCAGCACAACTGATCCTAATTGCTTCCATAACTCCCTGGTGTGAGAAATATATCAAGTTCATAATCCAAGCAGATGAAACAAGTTTATCAGGAAGATGGTACACATGAAAAGACCTCCAGTGTTAAACTTACCCCACAACGGAGTTGTTGCAGTATATTAGAATTCTCAAAGATTGATGGCTTCAGAAGATTATTTGGCTTTACACAACGAATGTAGTGTGGCTCAGTGGCACTAAGTGTTTCAAGCAAAGCTTGCAATTGTTGCTGTATGAAGTACAAGAAAGGAATAAATCTCAAAAAGTGACAAACCAACAGACAGTTTGCTTTATTAGAACAAAGACAGACCTTAAACCGAGAACCTATCGATGAGAACTTTGATTTTGAAGATTCCTCAGATAAATGTGGGAACAGGCCTGACACAAAGGAGCACTTTGAAGCACTCAACAGGGCTTGATGTTCTGCAACAACATAGTCCTTGTTCTTATCCAAAAAGAAGTCAGTTTGATAAGTGACCTGAAATCAGAATCGTCTCCATAAAAAAATATACTAAGTTGTTATGTCTCCCTCAAGGTATGAAATTGACAAGTCTGGCAAACTACCCTGAGGAAAAGAAGATACTTACATCGCCGGCATAATGACGAATGGTGAAGTCCGTACTTGATAATTTTGGCTTGCTGAAACGTTTATGATCTTTGAATGTCTGGTATAGCTTTTGTGCGAATGTTTCATGTGTTGATCTTGGAAACATGCTACAAAGAAATAAGTCAGGATCTCAAATATGAAGCCAAATTTTTAATTAATAGCCTATTTGGACATCCTTGAATATAATTAACTTCATTCACAAGTTACACAGCAGATTAATGGACAAATCCTTCATCTTGAACAGAGCCATTTACAAAAATAAAAAACTTCAATGCATTTCTTCCTGCATGGTCACTTGTATGTTTCCTTCAAAGAAATTAAACAAGAGTTTTCACGATTATCATTTTCCCAGTTGCAACTATTCAATATGCTGAATTTCTACCTTTAAATGCTTTTTTAAAGTGAATGAGGCCATTCAGTTCGAGTGAACATCCAAACAGATCCTAATACTTTAAGGACTCGATAAATTTTTTATATGATAAAATAAAGGAAATAATGGTAATTTTTGTTTCAAATTCTGACATACCAAGCCTCGTCCAGAAGAGCAATGATGCCACCAGGTTTCTGAAGCAATAAAAGGATATATTAGATATGTGAAACACAAATGTACCACTAACAACAACAATAAGTTACATTATAATTAAACACCAGATCTCTTTCTTCTTCTGAAGAGAGCGACTAAGAGGAAAAGAAGCTATGTATATATAAAAACAAGAAAAAAGATTATGCTCAATTAAAACATGACTCCTATTACAAGCAACAGCTGTATAGCCAAAATTTAATAGAATCACAATGAAATAACTCCAAATTTTTGGGAGTGGGAAGTGAACATTAGTAAACTTGTCATCCTTAAATTTTTCCATGTCATGTCAGTTGACTCCAAAGACAGCAACATCCATTTTGCATCTCATTCTATCACAAGGTAGTTATGCCACATCTTATGCCCATGGTAAACGATGACACGCATTCCCCTGTCCTTGTTACAAAGATTTCTTTGTTTGCATACAGTTAGGTTACACAGGATAAATAACATGAAGAGACGGCACTAAAATCAAACAACAAGAGAAATATCAGAGAATGGCCATCAAATAGTCAGAAATTGATGATCTAGGACTATGATTTAGTGGTGAAGACAGAATTGCTAAAAAATGTAAGCCACTCAAAAAAAATAATATAGTTCTCTACATTCTGTCAAGAAGCTAGTAAAGGAGATAAAAAATAAATAAATAACTTCACACTTCCAGTTACATAAATAAATAAATAAGAAGAAAGAAAAGAAAGAAAAAAAGACAGATAAATCTAGGCTGAGTTCACTAATGTGAAACGTTTTTTGTTTTTGTTGTTGCAAGAAACAGAAACAAAATTTTGCTTTTCGGAGTGAAAACAAGAAAAGTGAAATGGCGTTTATTAACCTTTGTTGTTGCCACAATTTGGAAAACTGAAATCAGTAACAGTGTTTAGTAATACATTTTTGTTACAAGATGCACAATTATTTAAAAATATTTATTTTATTTTTTATTTTTTCATTTGTTCCATAAAGCCTTAAAATATGGAGAATGTATGCAATTCAATTATTTCACAAATATTAACAATAATTAATGCATGATATATTTACTTATCAAAAAATACTAATAATAATTAATGCATGATAATAAATATAATATCTAATTTAAAATCACAAATCTTAATAATACCCAATAAATAAGTATAAAATAAGATATACTAACACAAAAACGTTCATGTATACATTTATTATGTGATACATCACATATTAAGCATATAGTATATTATAATAAATAAAAAATATTAAATAATATATCCTATATGTAATAAAATATATAATGCATTATAATATTATAAATTAATTATAATTTAATATTTACATATAATATAATATAGATTTTTTTTTGATAAGTTACATATAATATAATATAGATATGATATATAATAATATAAATTAAATAAAAGTATAAGTATATAGTACTATAAAATAAATAAAAATAAATAATAAATCATAAATATTATTATCTCAAAAAATAATTTACACTATTATATAATATATTATTTATTAAACTATATTTATTATTAAATAAAATAATTTACATTATTATATAATATTTATATATTAAAAATATATTTTTTTATTAATAATTAATATGTAGCATTAATATATAACATGAATAATATGTATTTTGTTTGAAATGAATAGTGTTTGTATAGTAACAATAGTGAAAACGTTTTCAGCAGTGGAAACAACTTTTTTATATTTCCGCTTTTCTTCACAAAAAAGAGAAACGTTTTCGATTATAAAAAACGAAAACAAATTATTAAACATGATTTTTGTTTTTGTTTTGCCTTTTTGAGAGTTGGCAACAGAAAATAAGAAACGTTTCTCATTAGTGAACGCAATCTTAATAACTAACTACCTACACCAATCAAGGAAACAATTTCACATCTCCGTTCCATTTTCATCATAAAATTAGATCATTACACAGTCAGCTTATTTTGATACCTTACCTGATTTGAAATTGCATATCTGTATGTGTTGGTTTAGGTAATAAAGTTACATCCTCTCTAATAGCTTAAGCTTTTAGAATACGTAGATGGTGGTTAACATGGAATCAGAGCCAAAGGTCTCAAGTTCAAACCTCACCTCACGCTGATAATTAAAATTGAAAACACGTTTTGGACCAAAAAGGAGGCCACAAGTGAGGGGGTGTGTTAGAGGATCTAAATATTAAATACATCCTCTCTAACGGTTTAAGCTTTTAGAGTACGTAGATGGTGGTTAACAATATGGTTTTGAAGTTTAATGAAAATTTAATAGTTGTATAACTTAATTCACTTCTTGAGCTGTCAAACTTCAACCCACTTTCGAAGTAACTAAGTTAGATAGTTGATCCGAACTTCTGAGGATAGTGATGGGGTTTAAAATTGAAGAAACCAAAACAATAAAATCATAAGAAATAAAAAATAAACGAGGAAACAAAATCTGAAGGGGGTTTGGGGTGGAGTTTAAAAAGAAAAGACAACAGGATCCTATACTATCAAGAGATAAAACTATAACATGGACCATTCTCTAGAAAGGAATTGCAAGCTCCAAAAAGAAACAGATAAACCAAAAAAATATATTTTTTGAGTAGGTAGATGAGCTTAAAACTTCACTATAAACAGAAGTGAGTTGACATTTGAAGGCACTAAAAGTCATTGCTGATAAAGTAAGAGTGAGAAAATCTGCAAAAAAAAAAATTAAGGCAGTAATCTATAAAGATAAACACATGCACATAGAGCTTTTCAATGAGATAAAGAACATTTCAATTATCAATGAGCTAAAATTGTCCTAAGGGCGTCATTTACTAGGGAACATAAACATTGAAACCAATTTGAAATTGGATGGAAATAAAAATCATAGCTGATATAAGAAACGAAAACCAAAAATAAAAAGTAAAAAATGGGGCAGTGACATAAACACACAAAACCTTTTCAATAAGATCAAGAATGTCTTGGTTGTCAACAAACTCAATATAACTCCAGTCAATTTCTTCTTTGGTATATTCTTCCTGCTCCATCTTGAAAACATGCTGCCAAATTTGAGGCCATTTTAATTTAGTATACTTACTTTAGGAATGTCGAGGAATGCTACAAGTCAATGAAGCAAATATCCAACGACAAACCTGATTGAAATGTTGCTGCAATTTTTCATTTGTCAAATTGATACAAAATTGCTCAAAGCTGCATAAAACCATTAGAAACAATCAAACAAAAAGAAGCTTCGACAGTGTCAGACTTCAAAATCCAACAAGTATGCACATAAATGGAACAGCTAACTGTTACCCATACAATATGACAAACTATTGGAGTGTAAAGCTAATATTCAACTAGAGTGTGTTTAGCAAGATGATTTGATTAACTCAAGTAAATCAAGATCAATTGCAAAGCTAAAATGGATCTGAGCCATATGATGAAGGAACCAGAAGCTCAACTCTGACTTAATAGACTGTAGGACAATCAACTAAATTGAGACATATCATTGAAAGGTCCCTAGACTCCTTGACATAGGCCATCAATTTAATGGATTCATTTTATAAGGTCAATGTTGACTTTGAGGAGGTTCAAGTTTGTCATAGCCTTCAAAGAACACAAACCTTGAGTTAGTGGACTGTAGGACCCTCAATTTAATTGAAACATATCATTTAAAGGTCCCTAAGCCCATTGACGTAGGCCATGGACTGTCATTAGAAAAGATAGAGCTCATTTTAGTCTTAAAATGATTTCAAATTTATACTTCAAGTGACAGTCCCCCAAGTGTTTGACTTAGTCGACTAACTTGACTGGAAATGACTCAATTTACTGTCCAAAGCACTTAGGAGCCTAACTGAGAATTCCGGTAGTTGTGCCAAAATTAAGCCAAATGGACTTAGCCACCTAACTCAATGACTTAAGCGCCTAATTAGAAACTCCAGTGGCAGCACCAAAATTGAGTCAAATGAACTTAGCCTCCTAACAAGTGACTTAGGTGCCTAACTGAAAATTCCAGTAGCTGAGCCAAAAATGAGACAATTGGACTTAGTCACCTAACTTAGAAACTTAGGCACTTAACTGAGAATTCTAGTAGCCAGCCCTAAAATGGCATCAAGGATTTGGTCACCTAACCCAGTGACTTAGGCGCCTAACTCTGCTATTCAAAAGTATAACAGCTAGTTCCAACTACCCCTACTCGCGCATTTAATGCTTCAAATGGATAAAATTTTGTGAGGGACTATAAATACTCAATGTCTTGGACAATACTGAGTAACAAATACCTTCATTGTGGTCAATCATTGAAAAACCTATATTTGAGCTTTTATCTTGATTTTTCATAAATAATTCTAGGTTTGTGAGCTTATATTGCCATATTCACTCTTGAGAGAGTTATCATTGTACTTCAAACTGTCTTCTTCATTCATTTAAGTTGTGAGAGAAGGGTTGGTGTAACCCTTGGCCGTAAAGTGAAGGGAATTTCACTTTGGAAGAGAGTGGGCTGTGAAGCCACTTGTAAAAGGTTTGCTCTCCACCTGTGAAGGGAAGTACTTGGCCCGGTACCTAGCAGTTCGACAGCAAAGATTATTACTTGCTGCAAAGCTCCAGTCAGACGAGAGGTCAATAAATGAACAAGTGTAGGCTGTGAAGCCCCTTGTAAAAGGTTTGCTCTTCACCTGTGAAGAAGAGCCTTAGTGGATTTGGGAAGCCTCAAGAGGGCATCAGATTAAATCTCATTATTTTCCAAAGACCCAATCCAATGCCTCCCCACCTCTCTCTCCCTCTTGGGTAACACAACATAATGTCCAAAATTTGTTTAGCATAAAGTATCTCGGCAAGCAACCATCATCAATACAAAAGCCACCAAGCCTGCCTATAGCAGAACCATCACAAATACACTAGAAACGGCAGTGTTTGCATAAGTTAACAACCCAGGACAGTATGGGGGTGTATAAATTTAGGAAATATGATAAGTCATCAAACCAGCTTAGAAGTGGCACCATTATCTGAAAAGTTTCAAATGTACCAAAAACATTTCCTTTTATTTTTCATTGCCCCAATAGCATATTCCCATCACATGAAAGATAAGGTTTTCATGCAGAACTCTGCAAGATATTGATCTCTGTAAATGATGAAAACAAAAGCATACCGCTTAAGCACCTGTTTGTCTTGAAACTCTCGAATCCATAAATATCCAGAACCCCAATTAAGAATTTTGAATCAGGATCTTGACCGATAGAATTATTAATCTTGTTCACAATCCTGATTAAAAAAGATAGACAACCAATAAAATCAAGATCGAGAAATGAAGGGTCATAAATAATTCGATCCTTTAAAGTGAAACTTACCAATCAAACAATCTAGAATAAACAATTTTGGCCAAAGCATCTCTACTGACAGCTGCAGCATCTGGATCAAGGACTTTCGTTATGGTCTCGTCACGAGTATTAATCACGCGTTTGCACAGGGAGTCTTCAAGAGACTTCTCATCACACCTGAAGGACACTTGCGAATCATGGATTTGCCTTTTACCCCATGGGATATTAAAATACATGATGTGGATCTAAGAAAAAACATAAATCGAATAAAAAGATCATTACATGAAAAGCTCAGATGCAGTTCTAAGATGGAACCAAGATTTATCATCCTTAGGTTCAGAAGCATCTATTTCCTTCCCCTTCGAAAATTCAATGTTGCCCAAGTGGAGAACGGCAGCCACAACTCGGAATATTGCATCCTGCAAAAAGGAATTTTTAACAAATTTCATGGGATAAGGTATGGAATGTCTCTACCAATAACTAATTCGAATAGACAGATAATATCTAGAGATCAAAACCTGCTCGTCAGAACTGATCCCAACAATATCCATGGCCCTCCTTGTTGCAACGTACTCCTTAGAATCATCCACTCCATCCAGCTCATAACAATTTGATTGATTCAGATAATGGAACGTCCTTGGATTTCCTAGTTTGTACCTCTCAACATCCTGCTAGCAAGCATAAGGAAATGCACATTTGAGAAACGGAGCATCATCAAACCATCAACATAGCAGACACTATCATACCGAATTTATGACTCTAATAAGGATAACAAAGTCGGCTTGGAAATTAATAGCATAATTTCCCCCAACATAGTATTACTTGAATTGGTATACACATAATGAATAAATTTATTGTACAGCCTCTAGATGGTAGGGGAAAAACAGAATTTTAATAACTGCTTCATAGGCAAATATGGTACTTTCATTTATTGTTCAAAGAATCAAGAACTAATAAGGAGAGTCACATGTTAAGTTACTCAGACTAAACCCCCCGGCCCCAGGCACCCAAAACACACACAGAGCACCTACCTTAGGGTCATAGGGTGAATGAAGGGGACAAAAGATTCGCATCCCTTCTTGTTCTTATAAGAAACTGATTTTATTACAATAGGAAAAAGATTCAAGCAAAAAGAGAGTGAAAAATCATTCCACCAAGGAAAATACATGAGGCACAACACAAGAAAGCAAAAAATACCATTCATGAAAAGAAACTTCCCCCAACCAAGCACCCCCATCAAACTTCAGGAGGACAGAAGTGGCCTCCAAAAACACTCAAAAGCATATGCCCCTCTATTTGCCCGAATGTTGGTCTCAGATTCGCTGAAAGAACTTTAAAGACTTGACATAACTAATGCAATTTTGGCAAAAAATTAGACAAAAGAAAATAAAAAAGGCACAAGAAGTAATTTTATCCCGAACCAATGTCAGTGATTATATATACGATGGCTACTTGACTTCTAAACTACACGTGGCATCCAAGAAGGTAATTTTATCCTGACCTCCCATTGGTGTGGTGGCTTAGGTGAAACCCTTTTTTCCCTTTACTGCCTCATATACCTCAACCCTTGGTCGAAATAAAGGTACTGTATAGTGGGAGTCTGCTCAACATCCCCTTGACCTCGTGATGAGCACCTCTCAAAGTTTAGCCTTCCCTACAAGCAAATATCTTCAATGGGGACCAACCTCCTGAACAGGCATTCAAATGCAAGAACCTTTTATTAAATAGACTCAGCACAAGGCACAAGAACATACATGGAAAATACCTCCTCTCCTCAAATAAATCTCATCCAATAACTTTCAAATAAGCCTTGTCATGAAGATCCCTTTCTCCTGAGTAAGCCCACTAAAGACTCAAAGACCATAGGAAAGACCTCTTCTCCTCAGATAAGTCTTGCCATAAAGACTCGTAGATTGATAGCACCTTGATGCACCTCGTGGCTGCCTGAGTTAGGAGCTCTGGGAGGCTTCTATAGTTCGGTGCATGGCTAGTCATCAATCATCATCGCAAACTACAGGTCATGAACAATGGTATTATGAAATCCTAGGAGATCTAGCTTTGTGGCTGAACTCTTGGATTCTTCAAGGTAGCCTCTCCTCGATGCTTGAACATACCTTGACCTTGCTATAAGGAAAGAGAAATACCACTAACTTCTAAAATAAATCAAACCTAATAGGCTGTGACGACCAACTTGATAGTGTCTCATAGCAATTTAATGACTTTCACACCATACTTCGTTAATTACACATATGGCCCCTACAGTAATCATGATCACCACCATACCTAGCTATGGTCACATCTTAAGGCAGTAATCCCAGAACCACATAGGTTGTCCCATCCAACTGAAAAGAGGACAGTTGCCAACGTCAGCCTCCATTTACATATCACTCCAAGCATCAATTTATGTCTACCCATAGACTATAAATAGCCTTATGACCTGATTTAAGAGACCATAACCTATTACCTAACAATTTCACTATAATCAAAGAAGACCTTGAGTTGGCAATTCACCTAACCATCGAGTACCCAGACCTTGAGGAGTCACTGGTCATCATCTGATTGATAGGCATCCACCTTGCTTGCACCCCCTGGAATTCTCCTCATATTGCAAGTAATACCTCCATCATCTATATTATTCAAACCAAAAACTACCACATGAAATTACAAAAAGCTTTGATTTCTGTTTCCTTTTCCTCATTCTATTGCGCATAAGGTTTGGAGGTATGTCGAAGAAGGGTCAGTTCATTCGCTGAGAAAATAGGAAGCTAATCCGAAGGTTGCAAGGGAATTCCTTGAAAGTCAAACCTGAGATGGGATCTCCAAAGCGGCTTTATTTAATACATAATAGAAGCTCAACTCAAGGTGTATTTGATGAAATTGTGAATGCCATAAAATGTACTAATTCCCTCAAGTTGTTCTTTGCCACGGGAAAAAAAAAAAAAAAAAAAAAAAAAAAAATTGAAATAAAAAGAAAAAGAAAAAAAAGCCAAAGAAAGCGCGAATTTGGAACAAAGCATTTAAGCATCAATAATGGTCTGAATAATAGAATCCTTAATGAATACCACAGTGCAAAGCATTTCCTTTGTTTTTAGTGTGTTACAATAATAAGTCAATACGGCTTAGCTGGAAGTTAAAGCTTCATAAGTTGTTAAATATCTAATCCATCAGCTAATATAGTGATCATGATAGTTGTTATGCAGAAATATAAACCTAAAAAACAAGTGCTGCAAACACTAAGCATCAATTAACTTTTATGCTATTTTACCTGAACTCCGGTACGTGTGTCGGCAGGTATATATCCAAGTGTCAGACATATCAAATTTCCAAACAGAAGGACAAAAGGACATTGCTAAATATTCATATTATCTAATATCTCTATTTTATTTTATACAGTAAAATAATCTCTTTAAGTAACAAGTGTTTAATATAGGCATTTCACTTGTTTTGAAGAATCATTGAATATGCCTTTTAGGTGAATGTCCAGCCAAAAGTGCCGGACACATATCTCATACCCATGTCTGAGTATTGTCTGTCCGACATGGGTACTTCAACTATTTTTGGAAAGTCCATGTAATATAGCTTTTATGGACAATGTCCTGCACCCCCAATTTCTCTAAGAAGAATATTCTGTAAGTATACTAAAGACAAATTACCTCTGGTGGTGCAGCACAAAGCATATAGAAGCAATGATAATTTCTCTCAGGATCAGACACTTGACAAACACGTGATCGCTCGAGCAAATAAGTTCTGATGGCAGCTCCCGAAATCCTCCCCTGTCGATCAAACTGAATCTCCACAAACTTACCAAAACGACTGCAATCATGACACATTCATTACAGGCAAAATATGATTAGTTGATAAATAGATATGATAGACAATTTCAAAATAAAGAAGAAATTGCATCTTAGTTAATAGGTTTTCCCACCTTGAATTATTGTTTCTAACAGTCTTTGCATTTCCAAATGCTTCTAGAACAGGATTGGACTGCCAAACAAAGAAAAAGGTAAAGGAAAGATCAAAACAAGACGTAATTTTTCATTGGTACAAGCAGAAGTTACAATATCCTAGAATCCAGTATTAGAATCATCAACTCTAAATGGTACCTAGCAAAGATAAAACACAACTTTCTAACCTCTAGAACTTGCTGCTCCACAGTCCGTCCCTCAGCTGTGGCTCTCCCTCCCATAAAGGCAAGATAATGCATAAGTGTTTTGGTGCATTCCGTTTTACCAGCTCCACTTTCTCCACTAACCAAAATCGACTGGCTTATTCCCTCATTAATCATCTGCCTACATTCCAATTATTCTTGTTCTGTGAGGCACATTAGGAATCCTAAAGCACTCAATATTTGAGTCTGAAAGTAGAATATGATAGGCTACCTGTATGCAGCATCTGCAATAGCAAATGGGTGTGGGCTCAGCTCACCAAAGACTGCCCCTTTATACTGTCCCATCATATGATTATCATATAAATGAGGTAGTCTTTGGAAAGGATTCACAGCAATCAATATGTGACCAGTGTAAGTCTGGAACAACATTAGGTGGATCAGAATTGGTAAAAATGACATCAAAGATATCCAATATATGCAGCAGAATAGGCGCAATTCCTCAGCAGTGCTAGCCAAAATAAAAACTAGATAATTTCATGCAATATAAAATAATAACATGAACAGACCAATCCAGAATGGATGAACTGTGCAAGGAAAGGAAGAGACAGAGACACGGAGAGGAGGGAGAAGAGAGAGAGACACGCGGGGGGGATATGCACATAAATCATCTGAAAAATACTCACATAAATTTCATTCATGTCATATCGACACCTTAAATTCTGCAGAACCCCTGGTTCATGCAGATAAGCCAGCTTTGTCATATCATCCATGCCGCATGAAGGAGCTTCAACATCTTTGGGATAGACGTTGGATTTGTTAGCAACAACCTACAGAATAACCATAACAGGATCCATTAAAAAATATCTCTATCTTTAAATTCTGTATTGTCCCAAAAATAAATAAATAAAATTGACCCTGACAACAGATTTCAAGAACAACTTATTAATTGAGGCAGAAACGAGGAAAGGAAGGATACTGTTTTTTTTTTTAATATAGATAAGGAAAGAAAGGATACTGTTAAAACAACTCTATATAATAACAACTGTCTATCAAATTAGAGTTTTTGCATATCATAAGAGAAGGTCGATATTGCTGATCAATGTAAACACATTTTTTTTTTTTTTTGATAAGTAAGATTTTATTAAAAACACTCAAAAAGGGGAGCGAAACCCAAAGAAACAAAAGGAACACAAGGGCCAGAGGGCGCCTTAGACCTTCATAGAGGCCAAAAAAACAATAATTTCCTCCATAGATCTATAATCTCTCCCTGAAACCCAACAAAAAAGAGTAGAAATAACAAAGAACTTAAGCATAGAAACAGGCTTCTTTTTCCGGTCAAAATATCTCCTATTTCTCTCAAGCCAAATACACCACCAGATACAAAGCGGCATAGCCCTCCAAGCATCCCTTTTGCCAGCCCCAACAGAGACGCCTCTCCAAGCCTCAATCAACCCTCTAGAGGAAAAAGGCATTGGCCAATGAACCCCAAATAAACGAAGCATCAAATCCCAACAATCTCTGGCCAACAGAGACGCCTCTCCAAGCCTCAATCAATGTAAACACATATCTTCGCAAAGAGTGGAAAGTACCAAGGGAGGTGTTCTATGGAAGTTTTCAGTACCTATTCAGTGCAGCATAATTTCAAATTCTAGCACTTCAATTAAAAATTCAGGGTTAAGGTCACCAAAAAGCAAAAAATAAGTAGGGATACAGAAAGGATGTGATATGTTCACAAGTTCAAAAGTCCCAACAACTATCAGTTTTAATAGGAGCTACTTGTTTCAACCAAATTCAAAGGTGTTAGGGTTTAGTATTCTAAAAATCAATTTCTTTTCTTCTACACTTAACTTTCAAAATAAGGACTAAACTGTAAAAGAGATGATGATTAAACAATAATAGAAAGGACGAGGGGGTGAGGATAGAGCTTATCTCATTGCAGTGAGAATTTGGACCTCATTTGATACAGCAAGAGCCTTGAGGTGTGACAAGCAGCTAGTCAAAATAAGGTTGTTAGCTGCAAGCCCCTCAACCTTCTTCTTCTTTTATCGCCATCTTCCCCCCACCCCCACCCAATCTCTCATTTAATTTGGCAAATTAGCCCCACATTTAATGTGAAAAATCGTGAATGAGGAGACAATCTGTCAGATGTAAGTGTTATCTTCTTTTCCATTTTTCTTTGAAATCCATAATTCAACTTTCATTTACTTCCATAACCATTAAAAAAAAAAAAAAAAAAAATCCCTTTTACCGTGTTCCTGTGTGTTCATTGCATATTGGCCCCATCTCCAAAAAGAAAAACTTAAAACACTTTTTTGCGTGTCCCACTAATGCTGGGACGCGTTCATGTCGGGCATGTGTCATAAACTGCAAAAATGACCTTTGCTCCCGTGTTAATGCTTCCTAACCATGAATTAGTGCTCCAATTTCAAGAATTTTTAAATATCTATTTTTGTTATAGCATCTTGTTCCAGCATTAAGAAATGACTAAATAGCAGGGTAGCTCTGCACATCCATAATCCCCCTTGCCAGTCGCAATGAATCGATCCCAATTCCCTGGTGCAACCACCTAAAGATACAAGCAGGCAAGACAGCACCTTCTTTAAGTACTAGTAAGAGGTGTCCACACGTCATATTTAACTGCATACTGACATTGACAGTAAGGTCTCCGCACAAGCAGCAAAGATTCAACAAGTAATCAATGGAAAAAATAAAAAATAAAATAGAAAAGATTGGTAAATAAATTATTTGACATCAATCATTATGTGTGGCACCATAAATGTGGATAAATAGGAGTAACAACAGATAGGGCTAAAATTTTAAACCACAAACAATAAACTCTCAATTTGTTGCAAGAACATAATGGTAGCCCATAGAGGAAGCACTCACCGTCTTCCCTGATGTACAATTTATTGTAATCTCCTCACCATTAGCTTCCAGAACTTCCCCATCTATCCAAGCTTCCTCGGGATCCTCCACCCAAACATGAGATCCAACCAGAATATGGACTGTAACAGCCTGCGTGGTGAGTGATAGGATCATTAATATATCCCTCAGTTACAATAGGTTGCCATATCTAGATATGATGTACAAATCAAAAATTGTTATGCATGCATGCAAAGGAACACATGGGATCGAATGCAGTACCCAACCAGTAATGACAGAAAATTCAATTCAAATACATAAAACTTTAAACAAGAATCCAAACCCACACCAATAGGTAGTCGATAAGAATGGAATATGTAGAATGATTTAAAGCTATCATCATCATGATAAGCTAGCAATAAGAAAAAAAACATCACAATATCACATTCACAACAAGATTTAGTAAACTTATCCAGACATTTTATGATAATAATTCAGTCAGAAACTTTCCAACGTTGTCACAATTCCTCATACAAAAAATATTCTCCCACATGAGGTATTGCCATTGGTAAACAACATGTAATATTGTGCATGACAGTTGAGCACCTTTCCTGCTCATACTAGTTTCCAGATAAAACAGCCTAGCTTAAGAAATAGGAAAAAAAAGGCAAAGAAAAAAATAAATAAGAAGAAGAAGAGCAATCATTATATACAAGATAAGATAAATTTTATTTAAGAGTGGCCCCAAATAACTATTAGTCTTCCAGATTAGCTAAAAATCACAATCTTAAATGAGTTTGGTTTTCCTTTGCAGGTATACATATGGATCCATCTCAAATATATACAATAAGTTAACAACTATGCATTTAAACGAAAAAGCTATACAGCTATACCAAAAACAGAAGGCCAAAACAAAGTATTATTGTTTCAAAAAGCGCTTGAAATGCATATCATTGTGGCCACCATTGCAACACTAATCAGTAGTTAATGCAATAACACACTTGTTCGGTCATCAGCAACCAAATTGGTGAGCTGAAGCCACAGAATGAGTTCAACGTATAGGCAAATACCATACATTTTTAATGTAGTATGAAAGAATATCATAGGTATGGTAATATACTACGTAGCATATTAACTTCAATGCCATACAGGACAGCCTATTCCAACAAATTTACAATGAACCCACCTAAAGCTATAAACCGAAACTATAATTTCAAGCTAAGCATCCTATACTTGCCATACAGATTTTGTATACAGTTATAAATAATCAAACTATGAACAAAATATTCATTTCTGCAAATTAATCAAAGAAATTACTCAAATTTAAGCAAAAATTGATTAAACTCCACCAGAAAACAAAAACAAAAAACAAACAATTCAAAACTCAACAAAAATAACGATTAAATGAAAAAGGAAGGGAATGAAAATCAATACCATTTTTAAAGAAGTAATGTGATTGAGCAATGCAACCCTATATTTTCTTCAATGCCGGTGAAAACATAGATTATTCCTCGAATTCAACAGCAAAACAATGCAACCCTATATTTTCTTCAATGCCTGTGAAAACATAGATTATTCAACGGCAAAGCAATAAAACCCTATATTTTCTTGAATGCAGGAGAAAACATAGAACATTCGTCGCATTCAACGGCAATGCATGTACAAAAGATCCAGCATTTGGATGTTGAAGGCTTGGTTCGAATCAAATACACCAGAAACGACTCTATCTCGCTCTTCCTCTGCAAATTCTCTGTCTAGCTGTACCAATTGGTGAAATGCAATGCGAGGGGTTTAGAATCAAAGGGAAGTGTTGCAGAGGTTTTTTTGTGGTGGAATTTAATCTCTATTTGTGTTAAAGATCCAAAACCAAACCAAAACCCTCTGCAACTTTCTCTTCCCTCCGTATTTTCTCTCCCTTTCCTTCTCTTTTTCTATCTCCTTCTTCGTCTTGTTTCTCTCTCTAGTTTCTCTCTCTACGTCTGCGTTCTTCCTCCTCTGTTAGGAGAAATCACAGCAAAAACAACAACAACACGGCGAAACGCGACATCAATTCGTGTTCCCAAATAGCCCCCGCTGTTTGGTGTAATTGCGGATATTGCCATGAGAGAGCATTTACGTTGTATGGTCATTCAAGTTCACCTGTTTCTATTTTCGCCGTCAATGGTTGCATTTACAGCCTGTGTGAATCAATCTATATGGGCAATGAAAAGAACACATTTGTCTAAATTAGATTTTAGATAAATTGCAAAACGTTCCTCCCAATTTTCAAGAATTTGCAAATTCTCCCTTACGAATTGTGATGCACCTAACTCCTTAGTCATCTAAAAGTTGTAACCTATACAAACAACATATAAGAGCGGTTGCATTTTTCGTTTTAATCATGTTGTGTATTGATATAATATGTTGTATGAGAATTATATATTTTGAATAAATATGTTGTATGAGTATTTACATGATGGTTGTAAATGTTCTGATGTGATTTGTTTTTAAGACTGAAAATTGAAAGAAATTGATAGATTTCATCCATTCCTTTTTAAAGTTTACTGCTAAAACACATGTATGATGAAAGGTTATTTTATAATCTTAATTAAAAAAATTATGTAAAAATTATCAAAATAAATTTACTTTTTTAAATAATTGATTGGTTACTTTTTTGAGTAATTAAAATTTTAAATATTTAAGAAGCGAAATGAATTGTCAAGATTAAAATTTAAGAGTAAAATCTCAAGTTTAAAGGGTTGCAATTATTTGTATAATATGTATATAATTAGAAAATGAAATATATAATATTAAAAAACTTATTTGTTTAGTTAATAAATGCTTACATGACATAATTAAACAAACACAAAATAAAAAATAAAAATAAATCAATATGATTAATGCAATTCAAAGAATAAAACATAATTAAACAAACACAAAAAATAAAAATAAAAAATAAATCAACATGAGTAATGCAATTCAAATAATAATGTACATGTAATAAATTTTTGGTAATTACCAACAGCCCAGTGGTCTAGCGGTATCAAACCCCTACTTCTCAAAGAGAGGTCAGAGGTTCTTTTATTAAATAATTACCTATTTTATTTTAATATGTAACTTGTTTAGTTGTTTTAATAATGATTTGAAACATCTTGATTGAATATCAATTAAACAATTGCCTATTTAATTTTAATTGGTAATTTATTTTATTATTTGGTAAATTATTTTATTAAATTGAATTTCAATTAAACAATTACCTATTTAATTTTAATTGGTAATTTATTTTATTATTTGATATATTATTTTATTAAATAAGTACCTATTTTATTTTAATACGTAACTTGTGTTAGTTGTTTTGATAGTTTTATAGAAATTCTTTTATTTTAATTCATTTTATATCAATTAATAAATATTTTTTATATTAATAAATAAATACTGAAATACCGAAACTTTTTACACTTTTAATAATATATAGTATAGATATAGATTTATTAATTATAAGTTCTAACGGTTCAAGTCAAAATATAACTATATATATGCATATATTTCGTATTTGTCTTGCATAATGAAATATTTTAAAAAAATAGGTATAAATGTGTGATAGTAATTTTAAACTTTTCATTAATAGACGTCACATATTTTGGATGGTGTATTAGTGCACGACATTATGTCATGTCATTGTTATGTAAATATTGATTGTTATCTATTTAATGCACTAGAGAAAATCAATTATTAGTAGATTAATTCATTCTAGTCACTGATCTTAAATCCCAGTTAGCAATATACTTAGTTGCTTTTATTAAAAGTAATATAATACCAAGTTTGACAAAATGTCACAGTTGTAATGTCTCTCTCCAAGTCATAATCATTGAAATATGAATTGAATGTCAAGCAAAGTTTCTAAACTTGGGTTTTGTGCTTTTATTTATCAACTCATTTTATGGTAGGCTAACAAAATTGGAAATGTGATAAAACTCCTTATAGGTTTTTTAACATTTTAATGGATTAAGAACTGAACTTCTGAACTTGACTCTAATACTATTATAATTCGAAAAATATTAATTTAATCTGTTGAATAATGATACGTAGCCATCCATATAAATATAAATCTATTATAATTTTTAGGATTAAATGCAAAAATAACCCTTAATTATTGGGGTTTTGCAACTAACCCTCTTGAATTATAAGAAACCTCCTTGAACTATGATTTTGTTGCAAAAAAATCCCATAAACTATTGATTTGTTACATTCCGGTAGATAACTTGGTCTATTAAAAGACAGATTTACCCTTACTTAAAACTACGTCGTTTTAAGAGTTATACCTGATTTGGCAGTTGATAATTTCATAAACCAATAAAAACGTGACACCAATGCAACCCTTATCTTTAAAATAAAAAATAAAAAAAAATTGGTGTTATTGCCACCACTTTCCCCATTCTTTCTGTTTTTCATTCTCTCTCCTCATAACATCTGTTGACCTTAAGGACTCCATCTAAGGATAATCTAGAGGTTTTGATGATAACAAACCATTAATAGTGTTTAAGGACTAATATTTACATTGAGTGTTATAAATTATTCACATTCAAAGGATGACCTCAATGAAGCACGAAAGATCATTCCAAGTATTCCATTATTCAAAATCACATCTATGGAAAGCAATGGATACAAAGGAAAATGAAGTTGCAAAGAACCGAATGCAAAGTCCATCCAAAGATAACTTGGACTACAACGAGCAAGAAAGCAGCTCAAATAAATGAAGAAAGCAAGTCTACCTCAAAACCTACACGATCATCGACAAAGCTTGAAAAAAAGGGTAAATAGGATGGTGAGTGTTTAAGATTCAATGTCAAAGTATTTATGAATTCATTTGAAAATCATCTCTATAGGACCGTGCATATCATATCATCATTCATATGCTCCTATATCCATTAGCAATAGACTATGCACTTCATTCATATACAATTGACACGTGAAGTCATTGCTAAAGAGATAGTTAGTTCAAGTTTGCATAAGTTTTGAAAGAACTCTTCACTTGTGCTATAAATGTTAAGACCATACACATCAATCATATAATTCATATTGGTCAACAATTAAGGCATGAGAAGCCTTCATTATCATGAGTTGGTAACAGACATTAGGACCCCAGAGTGCGCGTCATGAAAAACTGTGTTTTTGGCTAAGTGTGAAAAATGGATTTTTGAAATAATTATTATTTCAAAATAATTTTTCCTGGTAATAACTCCTTATACTTAAACTAGTCTAAACTGATTTTTTCAGAATTTTTGACCAAATCTATATTGGTCTACATAAGGATTTAATTTTACCAAAACTGTCGGAAATCCAAATTCGTACTAAAACTGAATTTCTACATTTTGATTTAGTTGGATTTCAATTTTCTAGTATTTTTTATTGAATCCAAATGGGGGGTACTTCCTTATTTACATTGTAAACTTAAAATAAATGGACATATAAATTAAAGTAAAGACATTTACTTTAATGTTTTCAATGAAAATAAGGTCTGTGCAGATACTGTATCATCTGTTAACTTAGAACACAACTCATGAAGCAACAGTTTCATTTCGGCAGACCGAAATGCATAGGCAAGTTGTTTCGGCCTACCGAAATAAGGCATTGAGCACATCTCATTTCATTTCGGTCGACCGAAACAAGTATAGATTTAACTTCGGTCTACCAAAACAAAAGTATTGAGAATGATGTTCTAACCTTAAACCATTTCGGATGACCGAAACAAAGGAGGGATTCACTTCGGTTTACCGAAACAAAAGTACTGAGAATGCTGATCCAACCTTAAGCCATTTCGGACGACCGAAACACAAGGGTGTTTCATTTCGGTCGACCAAACCTTGCCCAGATCTGAATCAAACGGCTATTTCCTCTCGGGCGGTGTGTATAACAGCTCTATTTTTTGAATTGGCTGCTGAAACTCTATAAATAGAGTAAGGGGACTTCGGGATTAGTTGTTGCTACCATCGACAAACATTATTTAGCATCCAAAGAGCTTTTGTTCTTCATTTTTATCATATTCTCTCATCCCATATCATTCATAGAGTATTGAGTTTCAATATATTCATATATACTCTAGAGTGAGCTGAAAGTTGTGAGCTTTGATTTGCATATCAATCTTTGAGAGATATACTTGTATGCAACAAATTTGATCTTCAATTTGTAAGGGCTGGTGTGGCCTAAGAAAGAAAAAGCAAGCTAGCTTCAATTTGTAAGGGTTGGTGTGACCCAAAATAAAACTAAGAGAGGTTGTCTCTTAACAAGGTGAAGTAAGGTGTTGCTTCATGTAAAGTTTTGCTCTCCACCCGTAAGGAGAAGCCATAGTGGATTGGGAAGTCTCAAGAGGGGTCTTGAGCCGAGGAGTTGGAGTTTCCGAATCTCGCTAAAATCGCCGTGTGAATGTTTGCAAATCTCTCTTCCCTTATCTCTTTTACATTTATGCTATAAATTGCTTATGCCTATATATTGATTATTGCATAATTGTTAGAAGATTTTAGTTAAATTTGCAAAACCCAAAATTGGCCATTGTTTGCCATAGACTCTATTCACTCCCCCTCCAGAGTCAATACTTGGCCAACAACATCCACATAAACCCACTTCCTTCCCATCTGAAGCCCTTTCCTCTGATGCCTACCACATGTCCGTCATTTTCTCCGCCCCGTGTGGCCACAAATCCCCTAACTCCCCTTCATCTCCGGCTTCGGTACTTCATTGATCTCAGCTTAGGCACCCCTCCCCAGCACTTTATCCTTATGGTTGATACCCACAAAACCTCGTCTGAGTCACCTAGTCCGCTTGACTTGGCTGCTACACAACCACCCACCGGGATTGGCTTTCCTCGCCCGCCACTCCACTATATTTTTTCCCCACCATTATTTCAACTTGCCGAGTAGACTCGTCCTCCACCCCAAGCTTACGCGGTGCAACCACATGCGCCTCCACAACCTCTGTAACTATAAATATGCCAATGCCGACGACTCTACAACCGTCGACCTTATTTCCGGAAGCAACTATCATAGGATTTGAAGAATAGATGTACAATTTCCCAATTGAGTAGTTTAATTGCTCAATTTCTCTATTTTTTTTTTTCTTATCTTCTTGAAATAAAGCAAACCT